CCTCCCTCCCCCGCCCGACACTTTCGCACGTTTGCACTCTCCACATGGCACTCTCACAGGCGTGTGCGCACTGCGCAGTTACAGTTCGACTCGAAATCACACACACCACCAACTCCGGAGGCACTTTCCTCTTCATCCCTTTCAGAACACTATGGCAGTGGGGCAGTATCACGCAAGTTCAATATATGACTCGTTTATTTCAATCTTCGGCAGCAAGTCATGCGACACATATCACATACATTAAAGACTAGAATAAATTATAAAATTAGAATTACAAAGGAGTCTACCAGAGGTGAAATGATCGTCAGATGGATATCAACGGCCTTAAGCCAGTTGAGTTGCCTACCCACAAGGCGCTCCCTCTAGTCGACGAGCAGCGCTCGTCACGACGATCGCGTGCGTGAGAACACTGCCACCTTCGACACGTCGCCGTGGTACTGCGCGTAGTGCTGGTTGAAGGCGGCCACGTGCTTGTTGTGGTGCTGCAGGAAGAGGCGGCGCTGCTCGTCGGCGCCCGGCGCGGCCCTCACCCTGGCGACGGCCTCCAGCTGGGCGCTGCGCTGCGAGGACAGCTGGATCCCGGAAGACGCCGGCACCGGAGGCGGCGGCGGGCCCGGCAGGGGCTCCTCGCCGACCGTGTCCTCGGAGGAGTCCGCGCCGCCCTCGTCCACTTCCTCCTGGACCGGCGCGGGCTGCAAAAAAAAAAAAAAAAAAAAAAAAAAAAAAAAAAAAGAAAAGTAATTAAAAATATTCAATCAGTCTAGTCAATGCTCAAGACCGCTCAAGACGGACTAGTTCATCTCCCCGCCTGCGTTTTACATCCCATCACTCTAGCGAACAGTATTTCCCTGGAATAAAACCGTAACATGAAGAAGAGGAGCACCACCGCACTGCAGCACCCGCCGGTTCCGCTTCCTCCAGTGCTCTTATTGCTAGATTGCGACGTAGACGTCACCGTTCAGGAGGAAACAGAGCGCGTTTGGCTTCATGCCCTTCTTGAAGTTCCGGTTTCGTCTCAGCGGGATACCCACCCTTTGGGGTTGGTGGTGTCCCCCC